TTGGGTACATGTAATTGATCTGGCAGAGAACATATTTTCCTTCCCTTTCTACCAGCCACTCCAGCCTTCTGTAAAATGCTGCACCAGTCAGTGAACCCAGCTGAATGGAATATGCCACTGTGCAGCATAGGGGCAGGATTCCTGAAAATCAAGTTAAGGTACCATCTGTGAGCAGTGCCTTTTTGCCAGCAAGGGAATAATATCCTAGACACCACCCATCATAGGTAGCTTTGTGTACTTCAAAATAGGATCCAGATTAGGCAATGGGGGAAATTTTTTTAATAACTCATCTGTGTATTTTGTGGTGTCATCTGTCTAGTGTCTACAAAACAACAAGGAGTAGCAGCTTGTCTTGAGGCAATATTGAATAAAATATGAAATATTATTGAACGGGGAGTGGTAACATCTTGAATTGAATCCATAAGGGATTCTGGGTTTTATTATCAACTTCATCTTTGGTTGCAGCTTTCCTAGTGTGAGAATATGGCACTTGCTTTTCATGTGTGCTTTGCATGCTAATAATTTGAATGTGAGGGCAAAGGCTTTCTCTGCAATATACTTATTATAGTCAGCCTTCTGAATGACAACAATCATTATACAGAGCAACTAACTCATGAAGGAAGAGGGTCCACTGCGACGTAGGTTTTCTTCATGTGCTGGGGTTTCGCTTCCTCCACGAGCTGATGGTCGAAAACTTGTCCGGAATGCTTCATTTGGAGGATACAACGAGCTCTCACCAGTCTTTCGAGGTTTGTTTTGCCTTTTCTATATCGCCAACGATTAGTCCTGCTTCTAAAAGCTTTTACAGTTACTGTCTTTCCAAGAAACCATTTCTAACAAAATTTTAAAAGACGCTGGATTGGTGTTGAGTGAAATAAACTGAGATTTGGAAATAAGAGTTCATAATTTGTATATACATGAAAACTCGAGGCTTTATGTAAACAGCTATGTATTATCTGTTGTAGATAAAATGCAATTGTATTTAAGCAGAAAGATATTTGATGGATTATGATAGGGGGGTTATGTGTAACTACTAGCACATGCTCAGACATAAAACTTATACTATTTTTAAGCATGGTCAGCCAGTCAGTCAGGAAATGCTGGAGGACAGGAAGTGATCAATGGCATGGTGATGGAGGTCAGAGTTATGGGTGTCATGTAGCCTGTTCTGTACTTTCTAAACTAGTCTGCTCCCCTCAAGTGTGTGGCAGAAGATGTCTTGTTGGTACTGTTGACATAAGGTTCAGCTGTCAATTCAACAAGCCTTTTTAGGTGAAATTTGGGGATGAGACAGCAAAATGTATTGGGCTGGTCTTTTCAAATTAAGGAGAACATAATTTTGAAATCTATCCATTTACTTCTGAAATGTGGAATGGATTATATCTAGAATTTTATAGCTTTTGCCTATAAAAACTCAGTATTGACAGTATGTTAAACAATGCTATGTCCAAAATCTTCACATTATTAAATAATAAATATTAACTGCTTCTAATATTATATGTATCATCTTTGAGTCGTGCCCTTGATCAGTCCTGACAGATTGCAGAGATATTGTATTAGGAAAGTAAGTTACTATAGCAGCTTTGTTAAAATTAGTTTATTTAAAATTGCTAGCTTCTAGCTGACTTTATTTTAATGTACCTACTTATAGTGACCCTTTTCAGGATCTTCTAAGTACAGAATACTCAGAAGTGATTTACCATTCCCTTCTTCTGGGGGCATCCTGAGATTGTACAGCTTGCTGAAGGTCACACAGGATGGATCTTCTGGAGTGTACAGTGGGGAATTGAACTAAGTAGATAGCTCAGTGAATGTGGCTGTGAAGCCAGAGGTTGAGAATTCAAATCCTCACTGTACATCCCAGAAGATCAGCAAGCTGCACAATCCCACAAAAGACTAACTTCTAAATTTTAATGTGAGCTTTTGTGAACAAGTTCACTTCTTTATGTCTGGCATGCTGACACAGACAAACAGAGTTATCTCTTCTAAAACTACATCTGTTAATAATATTTATCAGTATAAGTTAGAATAGTATAAATAAAAGAAAAGCAAGATATAAGTTTTGCTTATATCACTATAGGTGGTGTCAGTACAAGATTTTAAATTGAGTATTTCCACTATATTGACTGTCATATATAATTTGATTGTCAAGTCATCCTTAATGAATCATTAAATTGTGTAATTGCTCTCTTAAGGATCCAGGTTATTTATTAACATGCTTACCTTCTCTTACTGAAGGCTCATTTTGTCTTAAAATGTTTCATACTGTGATATGATGGAACAAGAGCAATAAAAACTCATTTGACTTGGAGCCTTATATGTTAATGCAAGTTATGGGTGTGTGTGCAGTTGCTGGGTCTCAGATGGAAATAATTGTAATCACAAGGTGATATTGTTAACTCTAATGCTGCTGCTGTATCTTATTTCCCTGTATGTGAAATATTTGGGGAGACGAACAAAGTAAGAATATTTTTATTTGATGATTTTTTTTCTTGTGGCAGCAATTAGCCTTTTGTTCGTGTTCTTTTCCATCAGTTTGTGTGAACTGAATTGGCGCACTGGGCTGCTGTAAAGGCAGAGCCCACATTTTGGAGGATTAAATTAAATCAAAGAATTGTGTAAAGTAGCAGATTCGTTCCAGCATGCTTCGTACGTAATTCATACAAATTTGAACAACACAGAGATATCCCCAGATGATTAATACTTCCCTCATTTTCTTCTGTCAATAGTCTGTATACATTTTCAAGTAGTAAATCTTACAGAGATAGCATAATGCTTCGGTGTGACCTATTTGAGATTTTATTAACCAGTAAATAGTAAACCTGCTAACCAGCACAGACTTTAATTTAAATATATTATGGACTGCAGACAACATGATGTGTATGAACTGCCCCTTGTTTAGGGAAATTATTGCTATTATAAGCTGTAGTTTATGTGTATTTACTAAACAGAGCCAGGTTGTTTCCATGATAGTTAGACCTGCAGGACTTTAGGAAGTACAATGTGTTACATCCCTGCCTTACAGTCTGTCTAATTCAAAGACAAGCCAAAAAAGAATGATGAAATCTTTTTGCAGAAAAATGGCTCATCTGCAAGTGAACAAGGTAATGGATATAGTTAGAAAAACATGTGTTTTAAATGAATCACATGTACATTTTTGTACATTAAGGATAGCTCAGTAGTTTATGTCTCAGGCTGTGGAGCTAGCGGTTGGGAGTTTGATTCCTCACTGTGCCTCTTGACAAGGGGCTGGACTCGATTATCCATAGGGTCCCTTCCAGCTTTGCCGTTCTGAGATTGTATGGTAATACTGGCTCAGTAGACAATGTATTCCTTGCCTTCCTTCTCAACTTCTCTGTTATTAAAAGATATTCCATCTTTTTGTACTTATGGAAGAAGATTTTCTGTAGTATATATTGCCACACAGGTTATTGGTGCTAGATGGCTAACCATATTCCCCACTCTGTAAGTAAAGATCAGTATCAGAATCTTGGATCCAAATATGTCCTTCCATCAGCTGGAAGACCATGTTTCTTTCTCCCTTCAACTCTATGCATGCTTTTTAAATCTGCTTCAGAGGATTGGGGAGGGGCCATTCTCTGGAGCAGATTTGGAGGCATGCAGGTAACTGCAGTGGGGAAGAGATGACAAAGTCCAGATACTGCATTAAAGCCATCATTGGAAAAATGTTCGGACTTGAATGAAACCTGAACTTCCTACTGAAACCTTTTTGGTTTTTAACTTACATTAGATTTGAGCAACTCTGGGGACAGCTGGACCCAAAGTAGAGTGAATCTAGAAAGTATGCTACTATTGACAAAGTGATTTTAGTATATGGCTTGACCAGTGAATTAAGAGAAATGGTTATATGATTAAATGAAGGGTTTTTTTATGTATAGATTCTCAGATAGTTGTCTCTTAGCAACACATTTCCTTTTTCTTTAGAGCCTTTAGAATTAATATTAGAAAGCTTCTACATGAGAGTACTGTATTAAATTATTTGCTAATTATAATTATTCAATTTTCACATCTTTTCAACTTATCCTTAAATGAAGCCTCTCTCCATAGCATCTAGTTTATTAGATGTGTCTTTATGGCCTTTAAACTTTTCTTTACAGATGTGGAATTTGTTTCTTGACTTGCTAAAGAAAAATATTCTTGCATAATTTGTCATTTTTCAATATGCTGTGGTTCAGAAATTATATTAGTGAACTGCAGAGTTTGGGGCTTTCTATATTACATCTCCGAGTGCCCCTCTCCTCTGAAAGAAGGTTGGGAGATACAGTCCAAAAAGGTAACTTTTCCAGGCTGCAGTATATAGTACATAATGGATTATACATGCCAGATGAACATGTAGGCCACAGGGGTGGCCACACTGAGGTGAGCAAATCGTTGTCATCCAGCGAAAATCGCCCATAGGAAAGCGTTTTCTGAACCGCCAATCAGCTGTAAAATTGCTGTCTTGCAAACAGCTGAAGCACGGAGCGAGCTGTCAAAATCGTCCTCTTGCAAATAAACGGTCCTCTGTGAACCACCACACACACAGAGAGACTTCTCAGCAGTGGCCCTTGTCTCTGGAATAACTTAACTACAGAGATCCACCTGTCCCCCTCGCTGAGGGCCTTCAGGACTAACTTTAAGACATGGCTTATACATCACCTAGCCTATTTCTTTCCTTTCTTTCCCTCATTTTTCTTTTTCCCTCTTGGACTCTGTGATTAATTCAGATTTTACCTTTAGTTTATTTTTTATGTTTTATGTAAACCGCCCAGAGTAGAGACGTTATAGATGGGTGGTATATAACTTTGTTTGTTTGTTTAATAAATAAATAAAGTTATTTAATAATAATAACAATAACAGTAGTAGTAGTAGTATTTTCTCTTTAAGGGTTTAATTTTTTTCTTGGTGAGGCTTCATCTTGAAATGTGATGTAAAACAATTTAAATAAATAATATATGGACTACGCTAAGGAGTTTCAATTATCTCAATTTATTTTTAAGGTTTTGACAGAGGGAAAGATGATGCATCACAAAGTAGGGATGATTCTGCACAGTCCATGTCAAAAAGCAAGGTAAGCACATTAGCTGTTTAAAAATAGCAGATAGCACAGTTTAGTTTGGTATAGTTAAATGACTTTAGGTTCTTAGTTTCAATGCATTTAATATTTTAATGATTTTGATTCATAATATGTTTCATGGCCTTTTTTGACAGTGTCATTTCTTGTATTTTTAGCTGTTTCAATATTTTATTTAAATAGTTTCTTAAAGGTGGAGTATTTTTTTAAAAACTTATTTCCAGAATTATTCCATTGGTTCCATGACATGTGCACAATGTTTTTTCCTCAGCATATTAGTCCTATAAGATCTTTATATATATATATATATATATATATATATATATATATATATATATATATATATATATATATATATATATATATATATATATATATATATATATATATATATATATATATATATATATATATATATATATATATATATATATATATATATATATATATATATATATATATATATATATATATATATATATATATATATATATATATATATATATATATATATATATATATATATATATATATATATATATATATATATATATATATATGAACCACCAATCAGCTGTGAAATTGCTGTCTTGCGAACAGCTGAAGCACGGAGCAAGCTGTCAAAATCGTCCTCTTGCAAACAGCTGAAGCACGGAGCGAGCTGTCAAAATCGTCCTCTTGCAAATAAACGGTCCTCTGTGAACCACCACACACACAGAGAGACTTCTCAGCAGTGGCCCTTGTCTCTGGAATAACTTAACTACAGAGATCCACCTGTCCCCCTCGCTGAGGGCCTTCAGGACTAACTTTAAGACATGGCTTATACATCACCTAGCCTATTTCTTTCCTTTCTTTCCCTCATTTTTCTTTTTCCCTCTTGGACTCTGTGATTAATTCAGATTTTACATTTAGTTTATTTTTTATGTTTTATGTAAACCGCCCAGAGTAGAGACGTTATAGATGGGTGGTATATAAGTTTGTTTGTTTAATAAATAAAGAAAGAAAGTTATTTAATAATAACAATAACAGTAGTAGTAGTATTTTCTCTTTAAGGGTTTAATTTTTTTCTTGGTGAGGCTTCATCTTGAAATGTGATATAAACCAATTTAAATAAATAATATATGGACTACGCTAAGGAGTTTCAATTATCTCAATTTATTTTTAAGGTTTTGACAGAGGGAAAGATGATGCATCACAAAGTAGGGATGATTCTGCACAGTCCATGTCAAAAAGCAAGGTAAGCACATTAGCTGTTTAAAAATAGCAGATAGCACAGTTTAGTTTGGTATAGTTAAATGACTTTAGGTTCTTAGTTTCAATGCATTTAATATTTTAATGATTTTGATTCATAATATGTTTCATGGCCTTTTTTGACAGTGTCATTTCTTGTATTTTTAGCTGTTTCAATATTTTATTTAAATAGTTTCTTAAAGGTGGAGTATTTTTTTAAAAACTTATTTCCAGAATTATTCCATTGGTTCCATGACA